ATTGACTACCCAGTAATGAAGCAGAACATAAAAGTTTGTATAATATATTTAACTCTTTTATATTAAAGAGTAATTACAGTGCTTTTTACTCCAAATTGGGATTTTTAACCATTTTATTAATTGATTTAGAGTTAATTTATAGTGTCGTATAACTCATATATGTGCTTGCATGAAGACCTTTGTGATATGGGATTTACCTGGAGTTAGGCAAGGTAATAGAAATGGGCTTGACTAAGCCTAGGAGTTGGCTCTGGTTGGACTTCCATATGCTAGCCTGAAATTCTGATAAGTCTAAATATTTTAAATTTGAACCTAACCTTCCAGTATCTTTCTAAAATATGCAAATAAAGCACGCTTAGAGTTTGATCTTATTTGAAGAGTGAGTTATCATTTTAAAATATTTAGAAATTTGTTATGTGAGCCCTCATACCACCATTCTTTCCTTGGTTCTTACATTTTTAGAGGCCCTATTTATTTTAATACTTGGAAATTATAACTGAAAGTTATATAACTATATAAATAGAAGCAACACTTTTTGTAATACAGTATTTCCAAAGGATACGTTGTGATTTAAATATGACATCATTTATATATATATAACAATGATAATATAGTTTTATTATTTTTTAGCACTTTAGATCTTATACCAACCTTGAGTTTATTCATGTTCTTATTTTGATCATATTCAAATTTAAAAATATAATTTAAATTACTTTCAGTATTTTTGTATAAGAAGAAATTTAGCAGTTGATCACTTTTGGCTGTTTTGATAACTGAATCTCGTTCTAATCTCTTTTTCTTTCTTTTTAATTGATTTCTTTTTCTTTAATTAAAGAGAAAATGCAGTTGTTTCTCAGACATCATAAATTTATCATAGAAAATGATGTCCCATTTTGTTAAGCATCGTCATGCAGTGCTTTGAAAAGAACCACGTTTCTCATTGTTTACATGCATTTTGCTATTTCCTTATCTCTTGGTTCAGATTAGTTCTGATTCAGTGTATGAATGTCATATTCTTCTCATTCCTGAGCTTTCTTTCCATCTGAACATTTTTTCCAAACCCAGCATATTTTAAAATAAAGATATGTGATAATTTCAGAATTTTTTCTCTTTATGATCCTTTGGGCTGTAGCCCGCCAAGCTCCTTTGTCCATGGGACTGTCCCAGCATGCATACTGGAGTGGGTTGCCATGCCCTCTTCCAGGGGATCTTCCTGACCCAGAGATCGCATCCTCATCTCCTACATCTCCTGCATTGGTAGGCAGGTTCCTTACTGCTGGCGCCTCCTGGGAAGCCCAATGATTTCAGAATGTTTTTGTTACAGATACAGTTTTTCACATGTTAGTTAGTCTCCTATTTTAGGGGAATTGATTGAGAGCATGGTTAATACTTTTTATTAATAGGAAGGGGTGTAGTCTGAAGGTGTTAAAATGTAGTTATTCAAACAGAAAGTATTGACTGTAGCTCTCTGTACTTCTAGGGTGGAGCATGCAGTGTGTGTGCTTCTGCTCAGCCATGTCTGACTCTTTGCGACCCTATGGACTGGAATCCTCATGCAAGAACACTGGTGTGGGTTGCCATTTCCTACTCCTGGGCATCTTCCCCACCCAGGGATTGAACCTGTGTCTCGTGTGCCTTCTGCATTGGCAGGAGGATTCTTTAAATTACATACATTCCTTGTGAAACAAAATCAATTTTTATTAGAGATTTGTCTAAAATAAGAATGATCACTGAATAAGTACTTTAGAATCTCCTCAATGGGTAAATTTCAAACTCTTATTTTGATAGTTTTTCCTCAGGCTTTATTATTTGTATCTTGTATTACTATTTATATTCTTAATGGTTAGCTTACCATATTAAATAAGCTTTAATAGTGCTGGTTTGCCTTTAAATTTAAGTGTTTAAAAGTCATATAACACTTGTAATATGCTAGGATGAAAGACAGATAGATAATTTCATGTGCCTCTTTGAGATATTGGGTCACCACTGATAAGCCATGGGTGTATTTTGCAAAAATTATATCCACACTTCTAAAGGAACTCATTGTTTCTGGAAAATACCTCCTGAATTTCAAGCAAGCAAAATTACAAATGAAATTTTAGATACAGAATTGTTTTTAAGTTCGCTTGGTTGATAAACAGTTTATTTGTGGAATTTTAAAGTAGAAAGTATATGATGTAACAGCCCAGTGAACTGGGAAAAGTGGCTATTCTGTTAGAAACTATACTAATTGAAATTCCACCAGTCTTGGTTAGATAGCTCTCTACATTCAACAAAAATAAGAAGCTGCAAACTAGATGAGTTAAACAATCATATTGTAAATCATTGAAGTATGGTATCAAGAATAGAACATTTATTCACTAAAGAAAACAGCTTATCATTTCCATTGTACCTTAATAAAAATGAGAAATTATGATGACTGGTATGTTTTCCCAAAAAGAACATAAGGTTACCAAAATGTGTTTTTGTTTATTGAAATTTGTTGTAAGTTTCATTAAACAAATTATACTTACAATCTAAATTGTAATATAAAAGTATGTGATATTAGATTTATAAGTAATGACAATGCCAACTAATTTCAATGTGCTCAAATATTTTTACTGAAACTTAAAGAAAAGGATAAACAAGGTTTTTCTTTTTTTTTTTTTTTTTT